GGTATTACCTCCTTCAAAAGCAATCCTCCTTTATAGCTGAAGAACCTTCATAAGCTTCCAAAGCACCACCATCAAGTTGTTATCTTGAAAATAAAATTTGCTACGACGGATGGACGAAAAGACGCCAGGGGTATAACATAATATAAGCAAAATTTTTAGGGTACATTATCAATGTACTCAAAATAAGTGACCATCGAATTCGAAAGTGAGTATATAAGCTTCGAGCTTCATACACAATGGAACAAAGTAGTAACAACAATAATTATTTCTTGAAGGAGATGACAGTACGGATATCTAATATAAGATGACAGTACGGATATTTAATATAAGATGACAGTACGGATATCTAATATAAAATGACAGTACGGATATTGAATATAAGATGACAGTACGGATATCTAATATAAGATGACAGTACGATTATCTAATAAGATGACAGTACGGATATCTAATATTAGATGACAGTACGGATATCTAATATTAGATGACAGTACAGATATCTAATATAAGATGACAGTACAGATATATATTATAAGAGGACAATACGGATATTGAATATAAGATAACAGTACGGATATCTAATATAAGATGACAGTACAGATATCTAATATAGGATGACAGTACTGATATCTAATATAAGATGGCAGTACGGATATTTAAAATAAGATGACAGTATGGATATCTAACATAAGATGCCAGTACGGATACCTTCTATAAGATGGCAGTATGGGTATCTAATATAAGATGACAGTACGGATATCTAATAAACGACGACAGTACAGATATATAATTTAAAATGACAGTACGGATATCGTATATACGATGACAGAACGGATATCTAATATAAGATGACAGTTAGGACATCAAATATGAAATAACAGTACTGATATATACTTTAAGATGACAGTACGGATATCTAATATACGATGACAGTACGGATATCTTATATCAGATGATAGTTAGGACATCGAATATAAAATGACAGTACTGATATATACTTAAGATAACAGTACGGATATCTTATATACGATGACAGTACGGATATCTAATATCATATGACAGTTAGAACATCAAATATAATATGACAGTACTGATATATACTTTAAGATGACAGTACGGATATATAATATAAGATGACAGTACGGATATCTCATATAAGACGAAAGTGCGGATATCTTATATAAGATGACAGTACGGATATCTTATATATGATGGAAGAATGGATCATATAAGATGACAGTTCGAATATATAATATAAGATGACTGTTCGGATATCTAATATAGGATGACAGTACATATCTAATATATGAAGACGGTACAGATATCTAATATAAGATGGCATTGCAGATATCTAGTATAAGATGACAGTACGGATATTTAATATAAGATGACATAAAGGATCTTATGTAAAATGACAGAAGGGATATAGAATATAAGTTAATAGTACGGATATCTAATGTAAGATGGCAGTACTGATATCGGACATAAGATAACAGTACGGATATCTTATATAAGATGACAGTACATATATCTAATAAAAGATGGCAGTACGGATATATAATATAAAATGACAGTAAAAATATTTTATGTAAAATGAAAGTACGGAAACCTTATGTAAAATGACAGTACTGATATCTAATATAAAATGACTGTACAGTTATCTTATATAAGATGACAGTACAGATATATAACATAAAATGACAGAACTGATATCTGATATAAGATAACAGTACGAATATTTAATATTAAATGACAGTTCGGAAATCTTAAGTAAAATGACCGTACGGATATAAGATATAAGTTTACAGTACGGAAATATAATATGACAATACGGATATCTAATATTAGATGACAGTACAGATATATAATATAAATGACATTACTGACATTTGATATAAAATGATAGTTTGGATATCTAATATTAGATGACGTTACATATATCTGATACATGACGACAGTACAGACATCTAATACAAGATGAAAAACGATTATCTTATATAAGATGACTGTAGGGACATCTTACATAAAATGACAGCACTGACATCTTATATATCTTATATAAGATGATAATAAGGATATCTAATATAAAATGATAGTACGGATATCTAATATAAGATTACAGTACGAATATCTAATGTAAAATGACAGTACGGATATCTTTTGTAAAAAATACCAGTTCGGATATCTAATATAAGATGGCAGTACGGATATCTAATATAAGATGACAGAAGGTGTTTCTAATATAAGTAAGATGGCAGTACGCTTACAAGATATAAGATGACAGTACGGATATCTAATATAAGATGACAGTACGGATTTCTAATATAAGATGACAGTACGGATATCTGATATAAGATGACAGTACTTGTTACTAATAATATAAGATGACAGTACGGATATCTAATATAATATGACAGTACGGATATCTGATATAAGATGACAGTACGTGTTACTAATATAAGATGACAGTACGGATATCTAATATAAGATGACAGTACGGATATCTAATATAAGATGAAAGTACGAATATCTAATGTAAATGTAATGACAGTACGGATATCTTTTGTAAAAAATACCAGTTCGGATATCTTATATAAAATGACAGTAAGGATATCTAATATAAGATGACAGTACGTGTTACTAATATAAGATGGCAGTACGTGTTACTAATATAAGATGACAGTACGTGTTACTAATATAAGATGACAGTACGGATATCTATAATTAGATGACAGTTCGTATATCTAATATAAGATGGCAGTACAGATATTTAATATAAGATGACAGTATATATATCATGTATCAATTTTAAAAGTATTAAAGAAATCGCTTGTAATAAACACATTCTGATATATAGTATTTTAGTTGCTGGGAACCCACCTACTTATCTTAAACATGCATTTGTTGTTATTGTATTTTACCTATCATGAATCAAAATAGTATTGTAAAATATTTGTTTCGCTAATTAAACACACTCTGTGATGTATATGATCAGTAAACAGAGGATTATAAACTACATATTTATTCACGATGATTTAAACTTGGCAAAGTATCAATCATATTGAGTTGTTGGGAACCCAGCTATTTATTTCAAACGTGTTATTATTAGTTATCAATACATTACCGTTCTATTACAATGTATTGTTAAATTTTCTATTATATACAGAACAAAAAATGAAAAAGTCCGACTTCTATACAGTCATAATTTAATGCCATTTAAGAAATAAATCATGTCTTATAATGTATTGTTAATTAACTTAAATATCAGAAATGACAAATATTGAAAACGCTAAAGTTTTATCAAGAATAAATTTTCTTGAAGAGATTGAATGCATAGATTTAAGTTTAAAGTGAATAAAACTAAATCTCCTCAGCCTTTAATTAAGAAAATTAGTGTTAGAATTTTGGGAAAAAAACCTGTATAAGAGTGAATGTTGCATGACCGAAATTATTTATACAATGTACGATCGAGATCCCTTGAGAGCCAAAGCAAGAAACATAAATATTGTTAAAACTATAATTCAACATCCCTTGAAAGTAAAACAACAAAATACATGTTTAAAGTATAAGACCAAGATTCATTGCAAGTAAAACAATAACAAAACATGTTTAGAGTATAAGACCAAGATTCCTTGAAAGTAAATCAATAACAAAACATGTTTAAAGTATAATACAAAGATCCCTTGAGAGTAAAACAACACCAAAACATGTTTAGGGTATAAGACCAAGATTCCATGAGAGTTAAACAATAATAAAACTTGCTTACAGTATAAGACCGAGATCTCTTTAGAGTAAAACAATAACAAAACATGTTTAGAGTATAAGACCGAGATCCCTTGAGAGTAAAACAATAACAAAACATGTTTTAAGAATAAGACCAAAATCCAATGAGAGTAAAACAGTAACAAAACATGTTTAAAGTATAATACCAAGATCCCTTGAGAGTAAAACAAGAACAATACATATTTAGAGCATAAGACCAAAATCCCATGAGAGTAAAACAGTAAAACAATAACAAGACATGTTTTAAGTATAAGACCAAGATCCCTTGAGAGTAAAACAATTACAAAACATGTTTTAAGTATAAGACCAAGATCCCATGAGAGTAAAACAACAACAAAACATGTTACAAGTATAAAACAAAGATCCCTTCAGAGTAAAACAATAACAAAACATATTTAGAGTATAAGACCAAAATCCCATGAGAGTAGAACAATAACAAAACATGTTACAAGTATAATACAAAGATCCCTTGAGAGTAAAACAATAACGAAACATGTTATAAGTATAAAACAAAGATCCCTTGAGAGTAAAACAATAACAAAACATATTAAGAGTATAAGACCAAAATTTCTTGAGAGTTAAACAATAACAAAACATGTTAAAAGTGTAAGACCAAGATCCCATGAGAGTAAAACAATAACAAAACATGTTTAAAGTATAATACAATGATCCCTTGAGAGTAAAACAATAACAAAAAATGTTATAAGTATAAAACAAAGATCCCTTGAGAGTAAAACAATAACAAAACATATTTAGAGTATAAGACCAAAATCCCTTGAGAGTAAAACAATAACAAAACATGTTAAAAGTGTAAGACCAAGATCCCATGAGAGTTAAACATTAAAGTATAAAACTGGGATCCCTTGAGTGTAAAAACAACAAAAACAAAAAATGTTGTAACTATTTACAACTGAAAGTTAACACATGCAGAAGTTCTTTCTTATTACTATAATTAAGAAGAATGGAATATCTAAACAATGGAATAGCTTTAGACATTGATAATATGGAACAATCATCGACTGGTGACGGAATATATTTATTTTTGTAAATGCTTTTTTTAGACACGCGCAATAGTGCGTTCTATTTAAAGATATAAATATCTACCCGTCACTCCATACAGATCACGTGTATAAAATTGTAAATAATATTTCAAACAGTTTGGGAATGAAACACTCCTTTAAAATTTTATAACACGTCTAAATATATGTTTGATATAATAATATACGTAATTATACCATACTTAAAATCTATATCTTTATTTGAAATTTGATAAATACTGATTACGGAGAGAGTTTTCAAAAAAGCTTTACAAGCTTCCTAATCAATCCGTAAAATTTATTTTATGTACTTGTGTGGATTATAAATAAAATATTGTTTAAACTAAAAACTAAAAATCTAAGAAACCGAATTTACAAGTTGAGAATTTAATGCAGTATGGATCGTATATTCTATTTTATTTTTACCATTGGATTTACATTTCTACTGAAAGGTAAATATTTTAGACTCTCATAAAAAACGCATTAATAGTTTTTGTCGTTTTCATGTTCATTCTTTTTTTCTAAAGACTTATACATTAAAGGGACTCCACTGAGGTTTGAAAGCCTAAAAACATAACAAATGAATTTCTTATAAAAATGAGCTGGGGTACTTTAAACAGAAATATATGCAAAGTTAGATAAGAAAAATGCTTTGAAATAAATTGAAAATCGTATTTTTATGCTTTTCTTAGCCCGATTTGAGTGAAAAACGTTTAAACGCTTTTCATTTTGGGTCATTTTTTTACAATTAGAATAATTATTCCTGAAAAACGAATAGGGCGAATGATCTGAAATTTTGCACAAAGATTTGTGGTATAAACCTACATCAAATTGTACGTTTATCTGGAAAAAGTATTTTCAGTCCAATCATGTCAAAAAAAAACCTCAGTGGAGGTTTTCAATAGAACGAAACGGCCGATATTGAAAAAGAAAGTAAAGAGAGTGTCAACGTTCGGAAAGAAAAACTTTCAAATATAAAACGCGTAATATTAATTTGTATTCATGAAATTCAATATGTTTGAACAAAAAAAAAACGTATAAAATTACAATGTCGTTATATTTCACATTTTTAACGTTTGCTTAATAGCTTATAAAGAATTAGTTTAAACTGTTTGTGTATATTTTCTTGTTGCTGTTGGTGTTGTTATTGTTTTGATTGAAATTTTCATGTTTTGAAATTTCATTCCAGGAAGTATAACTTGTTGTCGTAAAAACGGATAGAATTATATAAACAAATCAAAACGTCGATACTATTTATAAATAAACCTTAAGTATCCATAAATGTAATTCTATTAATTATTAGAGTATTAGACTAGGCATTATGAAATGTCGGTCAGGAAGGGTGTTTTTTCATTTTGGTGCTCTTAGGAATAAATAAAAAGACAGCTAAATGTACCTTTTAAATGACTATTTAAATCAAAGCTCTGAGAGAACTGTCAAGCTAAAAAGGAGCAAGATATGTGGAGAACAATTTAAAATTTGTAAAAAAATTGTTATATTTATTTTTTTGAGCGGATTGATAATTTGTAACGTACTCAAAGAATAAACATTAGTTAATAAGAAAAAGAGTAACGTTACATGGTGACATAATTTCATCCACACAGAATAACAGATTCTGAAAACATCACCAATATTTGATAATTGTTTAGGTTCTTGTGGCTTCCTGTTGGAAAATAGAAAATTTGGAACATATGTTACATCATGAATGAATACTTCTCGCGACTGAATACTGAATAGTTCTACTATAATTTTCTAAATTTCAAAATAAAAATGTATCCAATTTCTACTTCATCAAACGAAACAAAACCTTGTTAGTTTTATTCTTTGATTCAACAAAAAGAAATTTAATGTTACATCTTCCTTTCAATATGGATAGAATACTGCAATATCCAAGCTACACAAGGTAGTTCTATTTATTCAACGCGATTGTAGCGATAAGTAATAGTTATAGTACATGAAACGAGTTAGTAACGAGGATATAACGAGTTTCATATACTTTAACTATTACTTATCGCTACAATCGCGTTGAATAAATAGAACTTCCTTGTGTAGCTTGGATATTGCAATAAACTGTCAAGATTAAAGAGCTTTTTTCAGTGAAAATAATTCATTCAGCAGATGTACCTTTTGATTAAATGAGAGTAAATTTCATTTCATTAATTATCTTTGTTTATATTTTTCATTGTATTTATATATTTATTTTATTTTATTGTATTGATTCCATTTTTTTATATTTGTTTTGCTACTGGGAATGGTCGTTACCACTGTCCCATTGGAGCCTCTATGAAAAAGAACTGCATTGATATATACAAGGTGCGAAAAAAACTCGACCAATATAACAGTCGAGTTTTTTCCTAAATGAATCAAGGAAAAAACTGTAATGTTAAAGATCAATACAGTTTTAAAATGGTTCCAGACCATGCGATAAGAGAACTTACGTCATGAGATTATGACTGCACAATCTTTTGTACTTTCTAAAAATATCTATATTGTACTGAGAATATTTATTTTAATCGAATGATACAAAATAAACGTCTGATCATTTTCATATCATGAGATTTTCTGTTTATTTTATATAATTTCTGTTTTTTTTATAAAATGAAAATGTTTGCTTTGATGATCAAAAAGTCATTATAGCTGATTCACTTTCTTTTTCTTCATTGATATGAAATTAGAAGAAAGTAGTCCGGCAAGAGACTAGTGAAAATACGGAAATTATGAAATGGCAGTGATATTTTACACTGGAAATTAAGGAAATAAAAATATGCATTTTATTTCATCAATATTTCATCAAAAGTTCTAAATATTTTATTTATAAGTAGATAATAAACATTTATAAATGGCCTTATACTGTCTTTTTTCCCCAGGAAACCAATGTTTTGACGAATCTATTATACTGATTACTGACACCCACAATAAAGGACTATATGGAGTCTCGTCTAAAACTAACACAATCTATACTATCGCTGTCAAGAGAATTTTAAACCCAATAGCAATACATTATAACGAAATTAATGAAAGAATATACTGGAGTGACGTCATGCTGAAGGAAATAAGGAGCACGTCCATTAACGGGCATGATGACGTCATAATAAGGAGTCTCGATAATAGTAAGTATTAAGCTAAATTTCATTACGTAAACAAAGCAATGTTCGGCCAAAGTTTCCTCAAACCAACACAAACGGTATTCAAAACCGTGTGTAAAACGAACCACTGCTATCTCTTCGTACAAAAAATTGAATTTTTTCTTGCATAATGTTCTTTACGTAAGTGTAACATGTTAGTGACTAAGTTGAGTTAAAATCTAACGATCTAAAGATATTTTCAAGCGAATTTAATAAGCGACTTCGTGCATCTGCTCATCCATCTGCTTACATCTTCAAATATAACATTAATTTTTTTTTGTTTATGCATAAAAATACGCTTTTTATTAATGCATATTTAAGCAACGCTGTAAATGTATTTTTATCAGCATCACTGTACTGTATTTTTATTTGGTACGCTGTGTTGTATTTTTATCAGCAATACTAAATTGTATTTTTATCAGGCATATTCATTTCGTCGATTTTTTTCATGCATATCAAGTAAGATTTGTTCTATTTGCACTTTAAAAGCGCCGTGTGAAATGAATTTCAACCGATTTATAACTTTTAATACTATTATTACTCATAAAACTGTTATTTTAGGTTCGATTCCTGACGGATTGGCGGTCGATCCCGTTTCCAAACTTGTTTTTTATACAGACGCAGGGAACCACCTTATAGCATTAATGGAATTAGATGGTTCCAATCATGCTGTAATTGTAACCAAGGACATTGACAAGCCAAGAGCAATTGTACCTGATCCTGTAAATGGGTAATTCTGTATTTGTATTTTTCATTTATTGGTTGATTTATTGTGACATTCCGGATAACTATATCTGCGACGGATGTTAAAGTTTTTTAATGTATGAGATAATTGCATGAAAACAGCAGCTGTCCACATGCCTTCTTGATTCTTCTATTACTGCCAAGATCGCATAATTTGCCGCACGCAGTCTGATCAGGATCCATGCTGTTCGCTTACAATCCCTATAACAAGTAGAGAAACTGATAGCGAACAGCATGGATCCTGATCAGACTGCGCGGATGCGCAGGCTGGTCTGGATCCATGCTGGTCGCAAACCCATTATGTTGGTTTTGTCATGACGCGGCTCATATTAATTACTTCGAAAAAATTCGGAAACACACTGACCGGTAATTAAATCTCACTAGCGGTTGTTCATTACGATCCCTCGTTTGTTCACTGTTTACCACTAAACTGCAATCGGAATAGTCCTCACTTAAAATGCCTAAAGAACAATCCTTTCTTACGCGATTAAATTGTTTTCTAATCAAAAATATGTATATAACCTCATTACTCTATTGCAGGAAAATATACTGGTCTGACTGGGGGTTATTTCCAAAAATAGAGACCGCCAATTATGATGGTACTAATAGAAAGGCTGTGATTACATCCGGGATACTTTGGCCGAACGCTTTAACAGTCGATTTTGCAGGTAAATGCATATGTTAACACATTGCACTTCCCATCATCTCTCATGAACATACAAAACAGCACAAGTATCTCTAGGCTCCAAACCTTTTTCTACAAAACTTTACTGACAGCGGTGCAAGATCTTAAAAATAGAAAATTTAAACAAAACTTTGAAAGATCTATGAGTAAATTAACAAGGAAAAATAATACAAAGATGATAAAGAAAAATGCTCGAAAATTGACATTAAGTGCCTTTATTTTGGAAAACTGAAGGAAGAGAATGACCTGAAATTATGCACACAAGTTATTGAAATTGATCTACATCAAATGACAAATTCTTTGTTTAGGATCAGTGAAATGATAATTTAAATGATAACCGCCGCATACACATGTATATAAATATGCGAATGTTACACACTTCAAAATTTTTAATCCGGTGCTAGGGGGCGGCTTAGACGGTGCAAGGGTGCGGCTTAGACGGTAGCTACCGTCTTTCAAACCGAGCTTGCAATATTTTCAATTTTACCCTTTCGAGTGTTCTTTAAGGAATCATTTTGTATGTGAGTATCGAATTATGTAAAAAAAAATATGGCAATGACTCTACAAACTAGTTATAACCAGATAAATACAGTGGCTAGACCAAATTATCTTAAACGGCATATGCATACTAGTATGTGTTACGTGTTTGTATTTATTTTGACCTTTGTATATCTTTGCGTATGTTATTGACAAGTTTTGTCAAGCATATGAACAAATAGTAGCTAAATTGACAACTGAAACATAAAAAAGTAAACCTCACATGAAATTTCCGAACTCTCGCAAATAGTGGTGAGAGACTAAAAGAGGGATAATACACTGTACGCTTGAAGTTAGTGATTTCAACGACTTGGGAATGGATAACAAATGCTATCTTGTTTCAGATCAGTGGATGTACTGGGGAGATGCTGGAACTCACAACATTGAGCGAGCTAGATTAGACGGCTCTGAGAGAAAAGTCATTTTCTACAATGCCAATTCACATTACTTTTCAATGCTCCTTTACTCAAACAATCTGTTTTATACTGACTGGCAACACAGGTACGAATATTATTTATTGAAAACACAAGTCACTTGTAAAGCTTTGTTGAAATAAACACACTGTGACAATGTACTAAGTGAGAGAAAAACAGACAAAACTGTCTTACGTGATGTGATCTTCCACGGGACATTTTTTAAGAAGGTCACATAAGATAGGGAGTCTCTTAATACAGGTTTACTGTCATACATCTGTATTTGGATTTCATTTTTATTGATATGCAGGCGATATAGTCTTCGGGACCCTCAGGTACTCCTGATGTTTTCCCGTTAATTTGCACAATCATAATTTCATTTCTAGAACATGCGCCGCTTTTCATGTACGGCAATGTCAAATAAGGATTCTATGATCACCTTATAAGCAACACTTGTGGATGCTAAAATCTTTGTTACTTGATGTATGCTAGTGCCAAAACGACACAAAATGCATCCTTTATTAACCATTGTTGTCCTCGTAAATTCGCATTCAAATCAATACGACCTTTTTCAGTTGTCTCGGGTTCTCTCGGGCAACGTGTTTCAATTATTTAGCCACTGCAAATAATGGCTTATCAGTTGTTATCGCTGCAGACATAAAGTTTGAGTCTATTTTATATATATAAAATCACAATAAGATATGTACACTTTCAGATCAATCATGGCAATTTCCGTTTCCGGTGTCGACGTGTCTTCAAACATTGGAAATGATTCATTTTCCAGACTTAATGATATTTCTCGTTTGAAACCAAAACCAGCGTATCCAGGTAAGTACTTTAAAGTTAATAGTAAAACCCGGTTCAACAAAATTAAATAGTTGTAGATATACAACGTCTTCAGTCACATGGAAATTATGACATGTCATACAGGGCTTTCAAAGGCAGACCATTTATGCATGATTTATGCGCAAACAGTAATCTGTTGATCGCTCCACACTGGAAAGAGACAGGAAATTGCAATTGTTTTGTAACAGTGATAATGGCAATTCGTCCATGGCGGCAACTGTTACATTTTTTTCACTCTCAATAAAAACAAAATCTTCCATAGAATGATATAATGATAAACAGCATAGGCAAAACATACAACTGACACATAATCTTTCCAGAGTTTGATTTTAATTAATCAGATTTCAGTATTGCATTTTGAGTAAACTACATGTTAAAATTTCTAAATCATTACATATATGTTAAATCATAAGGCATATATCATGTTAATACATTTTAAAGGGAGACACAGGCAAAATTTTCATTTCTTTGTTTTGAGTTTTTCAGTCATTATTCTGTAAATGCCCTCAAAATGAATATATTAGACAGTCAAAGGGACAAAACTTTCCCCATATAAAGAATAAAATGGTGGTTTCCTAACTTGATATGATCCGCGTGGGTTGTTTCAATCATAGAATATCCATATTATCTGTTATTATAACTTCAAGGATTTATTCAAGTCATGTGACTTGTTTAGAAAACTATTTGGTGATTCTATTTTGATCTAAATTTTGTCAAAATATATAGATATATTTACGCTTCAAACCCAAAATATTTAGAATTTAAACAGAAATTCATGCTGAAACTTCAAGAAATGTCATTTTAGCGTGATTTGAGTACATAAGATTATTTTAATATTTTTGTAATTATTTCGCCTGAATGTCCCTTTAAGCATATAACATATAAACACACTATGTTGGATAAATGCGTGTGTAAAGCGCTACCTTGTCGAACACATTACGTTTCCATACCACTTTTCTGTCGAGGTAAAAATAAAACTTCTATTGTCTAAATGTCTAAATGAATTATTGTCCACTTGCATTTTTCATATTTACATTAATTGGCAACTTTGTACTGTTTTTATATAGAAACAAATGCTTGCACGAAGAATAAAGGCGGCTGTAGTCACATCTGTATACCAAGACCAAAAGGAAATCATGCTTGCCTATGTCCAACAGGTTTTACCTTGAAAGATGATTCATTTTGTATAAAAGCCGAAGGTATTGTATTTTTACGTCTTTTGTTTCCATAATTCTTCAGACATCTTATTTATATGGCTTATGGGTGCCAACGTTAACCATGTGTTCGAAAACGACATTCGGAACACTTATGTCAGAACAAAGTTTTAATAATATATTCTTTGAACTTTCAAAGTTACAAAGGCATGCTGTATCATTTACCCAAACCTTATTTAAATTAACCTTATGTTCATTCTTTCGTTTTCAAATTGCGCTGAATTAGGTATATATTTCAAAACAATGACTGTTATTATGGTGATTGACAAATAACTGATAATAACAAATGATCATGGTAGGCTATTAGAATAACCGTCTAAAACATAAAAAACTATCTAGCCTTTTTTGTCAATAACTCACAGGGATATTTTTGGTAATTACTCATGTGTCACGTGGATAATTTTTTTATGTGGTCGGAAGTAGAATATACAACTATATTCGGAACACAACTACTTCAAGTAAAACAAATTGTCTAAGCTTTCAATATTTGATATTATAGTGCAATGTCCACGCAGTGATCTCCCCTTAATTCTTTGGCGTAGTGTACTTATAAGGGAAATAACCGCCGCGAGGAGTTTGATTATAGTGACCAGAAAAAAAGATCTTGTCAGCGCAATAACACATACACATTTAATTATTTGGATTTGCAACAAATACAGTGATCGCGTCTGATGGCTAAACGTAAATTTTAAACTAATTTGACATTTGCCTACACACAGGATAGACATAAAGTCACTCATCAGCTTTCTATTTATAATAAGTATATTTTTTGCAAGTGGTAAAATAATGGTCTTATTCTTCGTATTTAAGGGGATAAAGACAACATACGAGAAGGACCATTATATGTTAAAGGCGCATCTCAGTGTTGTTATATTTTTCTGGTCCTTCAGGATCAATGATGCCAGCACTATTAAGTGTTGAGAATTGAGTTCCGCTCAAGCCGGAGTCAGGGGGCGTGAGGGATGTTGCACTTATTCATTATCTTTCATGAACAGACTCAATCAAACCGAGTCTGCAAGTAATTTTGTTGTGATAAATGCTTCCGAGGCATCACTTTGTTTCCAGATTTTTATGCTTCAAGCATGACTATTTATTTTTTCTTTCCTTCGTAAACTAATATAATGGTTTTAAAACATGTTAGAAGCTTATAACCTAAATAAATAGCACTGAATGTGAAACTATTTGTCATAACAATAGCAAATTGAAAACAAAGTAAAATACGTTTCAGATAGATAGTCAATGAATAACTTTTTGGAAATTAAAACAGGACATCACAAATACAACATTTTGAGATAATTTCTTGGGCATAAAGGGCCTTAAAAGTTATAATATGCTCATTAAAGAGTAAGATATTTTCAAATAACTACTCCCAAACAGACTGGTTTTTGAATGTTTTTGTAAAGACGACAATGATCTGAAAACAAACAGTAACTATATATGACTGCAGTATTTACACCAATCTTAAGTGAAACGTAGCAAATATTTGGTCACATAAATGTCATGGAAATAATTAAGCTGTACAATTTTTGCCAAATAGATAGTTACGGAAAATGCACTTTTGTGGTGTTAAATATGCATTGTGTTTGTTAATTTGCATTTGTTTTGTTGGATATTAGTTTGTTGTTCATTTGACTTTTATGCGTATTTCTAACAAATGTATAAACAAATTTGTTGATGCCAGGGTCATTGCTAAATGACAACGCAACCATGTGTTTAAATTAACATTTAATGGGATGTACATGAACATAATATTTCTATTAAGGTGATTTTCAGATGAAGGATCATACTTAACTTACATGTCGTTTAGTTAATTTTATTAATGATTACGTGCACAAGAGGAATAATTGCTTGAAACCGATATTTAACATGTTCATATTCCACATTTTCAATTTTGCCATCCTAAGTGACCTGTAAAGTTTCTGTTTAGGACTCATTTATGATCTTTCACCTACTGCCTATATTATTATTCACTCATTTATTATCTTCTTCACTATTTACCAGACTGTCTATATTATTATTTACTTATTTATTATCTACTTTATTATTTCGTTTATAAATATTCCTTACGAGACATCTTCTATCCGTTAAAAAACTAGAACAAGAAAACAGTGTTACGTGTAAGCCATTGAAGAGACACAACAAATTTACCACTATTTCACCAAAAGAGTGTCTGACACATGTTTCGCCAGTTGGAAAGGTTTGTAAGATTCAATGCCCGGATGGCTTCCTATATGGTGGTAATCTAACTGATATAGAATGCAAAGCTGATGGACATTGGAATGCTGACGTATCTCTCTGCTTTGGTGAGTAATGCTGTAAAAATTCTTTAATATTATGATATAAGAGAATAAGGATAAACTTGAAAGATTATTATGAAAATTATATACTGTCCAAGGATAATTACATGAGCCTTTGTTTACATTACAAAGATTAATAACAATGCGAAATAATGGTAAAGCAAATTGAAGCCTTATGATTAAAACAGAAAGTAAAACGTCATATTTTCATGTGCCTTGTTAGCGCAGTGGGCAGAGCGTCCGTGTCAGTGTTGTATTAATGCATTGGATGTTTAAGGTATCTTTTTTCTTACTTGACCGGTTTTGTTTCAAATAGTTACACATGCATAATATAGAATATTTTTGTATACGGGTTGATATACACTTGTGTAAACTTAGAGAGGACGTCAAAACATCAGTAGAAGTATTATTAGAAATCTAAAAAATATAATGAAGTAGTGTGCTACATTATTAAATGTTTCGTAATGTTGTATAGTTGAGATAAATGTTGTTTGCGCATCATATTATTGACAAGTCGACATATAGATATACATTTAGGCTTTTATTTAATTCCGCAATTCATGTATATGAAGGTGTACAAAGTTCACATGTCAAGAATGATCGATAACAGTTCTACATACAACTCAAAACGCGTGCATGTATATCAATTAGAATGAGAATCTATATTAATGTTGACAGTTTACGTGTTGAGTTGTCATGATAAATACTGGTCTAAAAGCCAAGTCTAGGGAGTTCAAATTTGGGAGTTGGCCACATCAGTTATATACACTTATAGTATTAAAATGTAAAAGTCAGTTTTGCGTTTCTTAATCATCCACTATACGACAATGGTCGTTTTGGTGCCGTGACCAGGATGCGATCTTCTGTAAGGGAATGATACCTAGAAGAAACATTTGGTCAGCAAATACAGGGTATGAGATTCGATATGTTCAATCAGCTGTGGACAGCTTCTTTCACTCCATTAAGTGTCTTAATGACATTGAGTACTGACAGAAATTGTGTAAACAGTGAGCTTTGTTCGTGTAAAAACAATTTCAATCAGGCTCCGCTGTACGTCCCTGACCAAAATGTTTCTTCTAGATATCATTCACTTACAAACGATCAGGCAGCTGGAAAAAAACATAAAAGACCACAAGGTGAGTCTAGCTGTGTATTCCCGTATTTAACTCGCTCAATTTTTAATAACCTGTTTATTCTATATCTAAATTATATTGAGGAATTGCAAAATGTGTCTTTCGCAAGACGTAAGTAAAATTTATCCAGACAAATTAGTTGTTAACAGCTTCTTTTTTAATTATTTATTTATTTTTTTATTATTATTTTTATTATTATTATTATTATTATTATTATTATTTAAACGGCTTCTATCGTTGACGTTAAATGGAAATGTCAAACCCGCTCAAATTTCGAACACTGAATAAGAATAATGGATGGTACAAACATTTGTGAAAAAAAATATCTGCATTAATATGTGATCGAAGAAAATAAAAAAACAATACTTTTATATCTTTTAAATGAAATCAAACAATAATTTATTGATCAAGATATCTTAAATGATACAGCATCCGATATGGAAATATATTGGATGGCCATATAGTACAACTTAAAAGCAGCGATTGGATATCGCACAATATCTCAATTTACTGTCGTGAACTGTTAAAAGGAATACTTTCAAAATGATTTTTATCATATTATGTAATTCTACTTTATCTATTTATAGCAATTACATGCCCCCTTATTATCACATCTAATACTGAAATAACCGGTTGTAAAAAGCCACTTGATTTTGGATCAGTGTGTGAACAAACTTGTAGTAAAGGCTATGAAAAAGTGAGCGGAAGCAGCTTCAGATTTTGTAAATCGGACGGCTCTTGGTCAGGGGAAGATCTAAAATGCCAGGAAAAAAGTAAGCACTTTGTATGTAATTTTCAAACACTGCTCAACTCATTAAGAATATGTTTTTTTCAATGCATATGGTTCCGCATTAGATTTAATAGGGAATTCACTGAGGCTTTTGGACCAAACCGTGACTTAAAATAATTTTGCGAAAGTATCTTTTCATGTCATGTAGATCCAGGCCAATAACTTGAGTGATTTTTCACTCACTTCGTTTTGAGGAATGATTATTTATGATTATTTGTAATCTATTTATGATTATTTGTAAGGGAATGATACATAGCAGAAACATTTTGCCAGCAAATACAGGGTATGGGATTCGATATGTTCAATCAGCTTTGGACAGCTCCTATCACTCCGTTAAATGTCTTAATGAGATTGAGTACTGACAAAAACAGAAAGCTAACAACATTTTAATGGTCATACTCATTTTCAATTAATCTACGTTCAAAACACGTTATTAATCAAATGTATTTGTTTATTCTTTCTTCATACATCTTCAAACATGTTTTTGCGATAGTGGACTTGGCATAGAAATTCCTAATGACGCTTATTATTCAAAAGAATGAAAACAAAAGTATATGTTTAGCCTTCTCTGATTTTCAGTACGGCAATGCGGAGACGTCCCTCTTCCAAAACGAGGTTATATTGTATCAGGCCAATGCGCGAATTATTATGGAGCAAAATGTAATATTGCATGCGACACCGGGTACCAATTCAGCTCCAACACAAAAGTGGTAACCTTAGAATGTGACCTTGACGAAAACAATAAGGCGGTGTGGAAAGCTGACAATCTGGCATGCATTCGTATGTCCTTGAAATTATAAAATACAATGCATATTAATAAACTGCCAATGACAGTTTGCACTTTATTTCACATGTTGTCGTAAAGTAATTTTGTTTCCTAAAACAATGAATTTTCATGCCATTTCTAGACCAATCCTTTATGAGCATTTGATACTTTCACATAATTTAAAGTGACATTATGCTCATAATTTCATAGTCAAGTTGCAATGAGCTGAATTGACTTTATATTTCAAATGATTGACTGTTAAAATGGTGTTTGACCAACAGTTGATATCAGAAAAATTTTAGGATAAAATTATAAATCTGCCTATAATTTAAGAAGACTGCCCCACTCTTTTTACAAACTAAGCGTTATAGGTATATTCTTATGGATAAATACAGAAATTTTGTTTGAATATGTGCATTATTTATTGTTTATGCGAACTTAATTAGTAAATTTAAATGAATTATGGCAAAATAAAAACTTATTTTTATCTTCACCTGTTCACTCACTATATACCCTCGGATGGGCATAATGTCACTTTAATATGTGTAGGTTATCTAAAAACAAACTGTACTATACGAGATAGTTTTCGGTAGCTGGAAGAACCATGAAAGGCCACAAGATGAGTCTAGCTGTGTATTCCCGTATTATACTCGCTCAATGTTTAATAACCTGTTTATTCTATATCTAAATTACATTGAAGAATTGCAAAATGTGTCTTTCGCAAGACGTTAGTAAAATCTGTTCAGCCAAATTAGTTGTAAACGGCTTCTATCGTTGACGTTACATGGAAATGTCAAACACACTTAATTTCGAACACTGAATAAGAATAATGGGTGGTACAATCATTTTGTGAAAAAATATCTGCATTTATATGTGATCGAAGCAAATAAAAAACATTACTTTTTTATCTTTTAAATGAAATCAAACAATAATTTATTGATCAATATAGGTTATAGGTTATATACAGAGTTTTAAGAAATTAATTTTCGAGCGAACGAAGTGAAGCAAGAAAATTAGTTTCTTAAAACTCTGTATATAACCCATAACCGACTTACAGTTAGCCCCGCCTATTCAAACCGAGTGCACTATGTCAATAGGCGAGGTCCATTAAATCGGCTCACTTAACGTATTTAATACATACAGTTTTGAGTTACAGCACTGTATGGAAAATACTTCAGCAAAATTTAAACAAAATAGAGCGATTTCATTGGTAGACAAACTTTGGCGAACTGTAGGTTATCTTTAATGATACAGCGTCCAATATGGAAATATATTGGATAGCCACATAGTACAACTTAAAAGCAGCGATTGGATATAGAACAATATCTCAATTTACTGTCGTGAACTGTTAGAAGAAATACTATAGAATCATTTTAGCATATTATGTAAATGTACTTTATATATTTATAGCAATTACATGCCCCCCTATTATGACATCTAATACTGAAATAACCGGTTGTAAAAAGCCGCTTGAATTTGGATCAGTGTGTGAACAAACTTGTAGTAAGGGCTTCGAAAAAGTGAGCGGAAGCAACATCAGATCTTGTAAATTGGACGGCTCTTGGTCAGGGGAAGATCTAAAATGCCAGGAAAAAAGTAAGCACTTTGTTTGTAATTTTCAAACACTGCTCAACATATTAAGAATATGTTTTTTTCAATGCATATGGTTCCGCATAAGATTTAAAAGAGAATTCACTGAGGCTTTTGGACAAACCGTGACTTGAAATAATTTTGCGAAAATCTCTTTTCATTTCATGTAGATCCAGGCCAATAACTTGTGTGATTTTTTATTATTATTATTATTATATACCACATTTCTATAGCACTCTTTTCATAAATAATAAATGTTCAAGAGTGCTTTACATAAATCCGATAAAACATAATCATATTATATATATATATATATATATATATATATATATATATATATAAATGTGTATATATATATATATATATATATATATATATATATATATATATATATATATATATATATATTATTGACATAATGTACAACATTAATTAAGTAAACCTATTAAACAATAATGATACTCTAAAACCAGTAAGGATGGTAAGAAATACAGACACATTTAGTTTAAAATCAAGGCTCAATAACAATTAACACTGATAATATAGCAAAAGTAGTACATGTATGATGATTTATGAACTAACGTCCATAGAACTTTATGAAATAATGTGTTTTGAGAGCTCTCTTAAAACATGGCAAGGTATTACAGTCTCTAATGTCAGGTGGTAACGAGTTCCATAATTTCGCTGCGGCTGTCTGGAAGCGCCTGTCACCATATCGTACTGTCCGAGATTTAAGCACAACTAATGTCATTGAGTTATTCTGGGACCTCAGATTTCTGACTGGGATGTACACGTCTATCATGTCTTTTATATAGGCTGGTGATTGATCGATGAGGGATTTATATGTATAAGTCAAAATTTTATATTCGACCCGATACTCTACCGGAAGCCAGTGAAGGTTACGTAAGATAGGTGTTATGTGGTCATATTTGAGTGTTTTGGTCACAATTCTAGCTGCTGTATTTTGAACATGTTGTAACTTGGTCATTGACTGCTTAGAGACTCCATATAACAGTGCATTACAGTAGTCTAACCTAGAAGTAACAAGTGAATTTACTAGAGATTTGGTTGCTTTAACAGTAAGATAGGGTCTGATGTGACCGATTTGTCTTAATTGTGCATAACAGTTCCTACAGACATTATTTACATGTTGTTCCATCCTCATGTTCGAGTCAAGAAATGCACCAAGATTGCGCACACTAGATGATTGGCTAATTTTCGAACCGTCGACTGTTACTGTAACATCTGAAACAGGTTGTGCGTTATGTTCAGATGAGAAGATGATCAACTCTGTTTTGTCGCCGTTTAGCTTCAGCATGTTGGCATTCATCCAACTTACAATATCTTCAAGACATCTTTCAATACGGTTTATATTCTCCTGAATTGAAATATTAGTCACTGGTTTGAAGGATAGATAGAGTTGTGAGTCATCTGCGAAGAAATGGTTGTTAAGATCATGTTTACGGCAGATTTCTCCGACAGGTTTCGTATACATCACATAGCTCTTGGGTCCCAGGACAGACCCTTGAGGTACACTGTACTCCATGTGGACAGGTCCTTTCACGCCGTTAAATGTCTTAATGAGATTGAGTACTGACAAAAACAGAAAGCTAACAACATTTTAATGGTCATACTCGTGTTCAATTAATCTACGTTCAAAACACGTTATTAATCAAATGTATTAGTTTATTCTTTCTTCTTAGTTCTTACATCTATAAACATGTTTTTGCAATAGTGGACTTGGCATTGAAATTCCTAATGACGCTTATTATTCAAAAGAATGAAAACAAAAGTATATGTTTAGCCTTCTCTGATTTTCAGTACGGCAATGTGGAGACGTCCCTCTTCCAAAACGAGGTTATATTGTATCAGGCCAATGCGCGAATTATTATAGAGCAAAATGTAATATTGCATGCGACACCGGGTACCAATTCAGCTCCAACACAAAAGTGGGAACCATAGAATGTGACCTTGACGAAAACAATAAGACGATGTGGAAAGCTGACAATCTGGCATGCAATCGTATGTCCTTGAAATTATAAAATACAATGCATATTAATAAACTGCCAATGACAGTTTGCACTTTATTTCACATATTGTCGTAAAGTAATTTTGTTTCCTAAAACAATGAATTTTCATGCCATTTCTAGACCAATCCTTTACGAGCATTTGATACTTTCACATAATTTAAAGTGACATTATGCTCATAATTTCATAGTCAAGTTGAGCTGAATTTACTTTATATTTCAAATGATTGACTGTTAAAATGGTGTTTGACCAACAGTTGATATTAGAAAATATTTAGGATAAAATCATAAATCTGCCTATAATTTAAAAAGACTGCCCCACTCTTTTTACAGACTAAGCGTTATAGGTATATTCTTATGGATAAATACAGAAATTTCGTTTAAATCTGTGCATTATTTATTGTTTATGCAAACTTAATTAGTAAATTAAAATGAATTATGTCAAAATAAAAACTTATTTTTATCTTCACATGTTCACTCACTATATACCCTCGGATGGGCATAATGTCACTTTAATATGTGTAGGTTATCTAAAAACAAACTGTTCTATACGAGATAATTTTCGGTAGCTGGAAGAACCATAAAAGGCCACAAGATGAGTCTAGCTGTGTATTCCCGTATTATACTCGCTCAATGTTTAATAACCTGTTTATTCTATTTCTAAATTATATGGAAGAATTGCAAAATGTGTCTTTCGCAAGACGTTAGTAAAATCTGTTCAGCCAAATTAGTTGTAAACGGCTTCTATCGTTGACGTTACACGGAAATGTCAAACCCACTCAATTTCGAACACTGAATAACAATAATGGATGTTACAAACATTTTGTGAAAAAATATCTGCATTTATGTGTGATCGAAGCAAATAAAAAACATTACTTTTTTATCTTTTAAATGAAATCAAACAATAATTTATTGATCAATATAGGTTATAGTTTATATACAGAGTTTTAAGAAATTAATTTTCGAGCGAACGAAGTGAAGCAAGAAAATTAGTTTCTTAAAACTCTGTATATAACCTATAACCGACTTACAGTTAGCCCCGCCTGTTCAAACCGAGTGCACTATGTAAATAGGCGAGGTCCATTAAATCGGCTCACTTAACGTATTTAATACATACAGTTGAGTTACAGCACTGTATGAAAACTACTTCAGTAAAATTTAAACAAAATAGAGCGATTTCATTGGTAGACAAACTTTGGCGAACTGTAAGATATCTTAAATGATACAGCATCCAATATGGAAATATATTGGATAGCCACATAGTACAACTTAAAAGCAGCGATTGGATATAGAACAATATCTCAATTTACTGTCGTGAACTGTAAAGAAATACTTTCAGAATCATTTTTAGCATATTATGTAAATGTACTTTATCTATTTATAGCAATTACATGCCCCCCTATTATGACATCTAATACTGAAATAACCGGTTGTAAAAAGCCGCTTGATTTTGGATCAGTGTGTGAACAAACTTGTAGTAAGGGCTTCGAAAAAGTGAGCGGAAGCAGCGTCAGATTTTGTAAATTGGACGGCTCTTGGTCAGGGGAAGATCTGAAATGCCAGGAAAAAAGTAAGCATTTTGTTTGTAATCTTCAAACACTGCTCAACTCATTAAGAATATGTTATTTTCAATGTATATGGTTCCGCATTAGCTTTTAAAGGGAATTAACTGAGGTTTTTGGACATGCCGTAACTTGAAATAATTTTGCGAGATAATGTTCCTTTTGATGTAGGTCTAAGGCCAGTGATTTGTGTGAAAATATCTGATTTTTTGCTAACTCCGTTTTCTGGAATGATTATTTAAATTCTTGCAACGCTTTTCGCTAAAATCGGACCAAGAATAGCACACAATGCGATGCACATTTTTTGCGAGTATAGTTCTGGATAATTTTATCATATCTTTTTCTGTGAAGAACCCAAGGTGATCTTTATAAGAAAATCCAACTTTTATGTTTTAAGACTTTTAGATCTCAGTGGTTTTCCTTTAAAGTAAATAGCATAAAATTCCTTAGCATTGGCAAGAAGGCCTTAACTAGCGATTAAGTCCTACTATTCAGCAAATAAGAATCTGCCTCTGAATAGGTCATAAGTCAAATATCAGTCAAGTATCATTTGCCAAAATGTTTCCTATATAGAAATTGGAAAAAACAACAACAGAATTTTACTATTCATTTATAATAATTATACTGACTTTCCAGAGAAATATGTGTGCTTAAATATTTTTCAGCTGTTGAATGTCCTAAATTAACTCCCTATTGGCATTCGAGTATACTAGGATGTTCACCTCCATTTATCGTTGGAAGTGTCTGTGCACAAATCTGTCATGATGGCTATACAAGTGACAACTCTGGCGCAGGTCAAAGAGTGTGCACAACAGATGGCACCTGGTCAGGTCAAGAATTAATCTGTGTAAAGTATGAGACAGTGCCACCTAAAGGTCATTTAAATTCCAAAGGTTTGATAAAATATGCATGTTTTTGCATTGGAATTGTTCGTTAAGCATTATGTTTATATTATATTCTATTATATATTGCATTATATTATATTTTATTATATGATCTAAATATAACTGCAATCTCATAGGTCGAAACAGTAGTCAACAAAACGTTTTATAAAATCATATTTACTGGGTGTAGTATCATATTCACTGGCTGAATTGGAATTTGCCAGTCTAAAAATAGATTGAGACTCATATTCAATGACCATAAACCGTAGGCTGTTAATTACGCATGCTAATTAAACATATTTGTTGCGTTTTGTTCTTTATGGCATATTTCTCGATTAAAATATCATTACTTGACTATTATACTTGAAGTCTACACCACAATGATGAGTATAAACTTGAATTACTTTTGTATGCGCAGCGTTCGCGTAGTCGTTGCACGCCTATCACGTGCGTCTTTTTCCCGCGCTTCAACGAGGCTATTTGTGATTTCTTTTAATTCTTAGCCTGTTCATATAAAAAAACAATTATTGACTTGCGAGCCATTGAATATGATGTGATATTTACCGGCAGAAAGTCATATTGTGCTCGGCTACCGCCTCGGTCAATATGTCATTTGCCGGTGAATATCACATCATATACAATGACTCACTAGTCAATAATTATAATTTATTATATTATATCATATCACATTATATTACATTACATTTTATTAAATTATATCCACCGCCTCCCTGGTCGAGGGGTTAGAGTCGATGACTTCTATTCCAGTTAACTCTCCAGGAACGATGGTTAGGAAACTACCCGCCTATATGACTGAAATACTGTTGGGGAAAAGGGCGTAAAATGAAACAAACAAACAAACAAAATTATATTATATTACATTATATATCATATTTTATCGTATCATATCATATTTTATCAATCGAATATTAAGAGGCTTTTGTAAATATTCTGGAGGGTAACGACTTTTGTGAAAAAAAATCTGCATTTATTTGTGATTGTGGCAAATCTTTGTCTATAAAATGAAATTAACAAATTCTGAATCTATTGATAAAGAAGTCTTAAATTGTGTTTAATAAAATTTGCATTTTATGAATTTTGAATCAACGGTATAATCAAACATTGTGTATTTTTAACAGATTCCGATGAAAAATTTGATTTCACAAACAGCGGTGTCCTCATTGGAGTTGCGGTTATAATCATGTCCTTTCTGTTGTTGAATTGTGGAATTTTGGTCTTTTTACGGAAGCTGTAAGTAACATAATTAAATGAAATTTTTTCCTGTCTATCTTCATATTTCGCGCGAAAGTTCAACATAATATTTTTGAAAGCAAATATGCTGTTCTTTTTAAAAGTTGGTTTTTAAAATAGAAATCTGAAAAAAGGTTGGTTTCTAGGAAGCATTTAAAGCAACAAAATTACATGAACATTGCAGACTATGTTTGATTGAGTCTGTACATCAGTGAAAATGAAAAATGCAACATCCCTCACGCCCCCTAGCTCCAGTTAACGAGTAAAAATTTCCAAACAATACGCCTTCAATTTCATAAACTAAAAAGAATTTCATTCATAGTGTTTTGCATTTGCAGAGGTGGAAAAATCGAAACAAGTGTTGAAAGTAAAATCTCCTTATTACAAAACCAAAATGGACACTCAGAACGACAATTTGGAACAAGTTTCAAAAGAGAAATTTCCTTTTCACAAAATTCACTCTCAGATTCACAACCTTCAACTAAGCCTGGAGTAGAGGAAACATTTAAAAAAGAGGAATACACGTGATTTTAACTATTAAACTTCATCATTTTTATTTTGTTTTTGCTAGTTGTTGTCTTTATGTTTTGTTTTTGTTGTTGTTTATTTGCTGTTTGTTCTTGTTTTGTGACGACAGTCTTGTGATATATTGCTAAATAAACGAATATTGTACATGGTATTTCCAATTTCCAAACAATTCAAACTGTAGTGCATTAAGTGGAATAGTTTTTGAAGGCAATGATCAAATCAAAACGTTCCAAAACGAAAAGAAAAACCTTGCCAAGCAACGATGCAATTTTCACACAGACCACGTGTTTCAGTTGTCGAGTCGATAAAATTTGTGGTGATGAAAAAAGAATAAAAATGGAAACAAAAAAGAATAAATATTGAAACAAAAAAGGATAAATATTTAAATAAAAAAGATAAAACAGTTTTAAATTATATATATGTGTGTATGGAAGTATGTTAATTTAGATAAACATGTATATTGAAAGCTATGGGAAAAGAAAAGCGTACAATGAATGTGTGAGGAAAATTCGAAAAGAATAGTAAAAGTGACATCAATGAATCTTGTAATAGCACCTGACCACAAATAATAAATTTTCTGTCTTAGAAAAACAAAAAAAGGCATACATATTGGGGAACTGGTAACAAATTTGCAGTGGTAATTGGATTTTGACAATTGTCCCTGTGGTCACTTCAGACATATATGAGGACACAGGGAAGATATTAACCATGTTTAAATGGAAGATTAACACAAATGAAAATATTTTACATTTAATTACATTTTACTACATTCAATATGCAGTTCTGTGAATGTCTAAAATGATACATTATCCTTTTAACAAATTATATAGCATGTAGATATTTGTTATATATATACATGTATATTTATTTTTATCTACGTACTTGTTTCATAGTTTGGGGACCTTTTTGTTGACAATGTGCCAGAATTAAATCGTATACGTATACATGCACAGTGCGTTAATTGGAGTGCAGGTATTAGTTACTCGCACTCCAGAGCATGCTCATTAATTGACTCATGGTACAAATTAGATAGCGCTCTTTCTATTAATTAACTAAAATAAACAGACAAGCCACACAAACACGAACATTCAGTAATTAATTTTTATTGAAATCTTAAATAAATATTGGGATCTATTACTTTTGTCTGATAAGGAAAGCGTAAAAAAATATACATACCAAGTTCAAACCTATTTTAGCATACAGACGTCCTTAAAACATTCGAGATTATCTTATGAGAAGTCCTTTACTTGATCGCACATTTTTATGCCCCCACAGAGTGGGAGCATATAGCGTTGCACTTGTCCGTCCGAGTGTCCGTCCGTCCGTCTGTCCGTCCGTCCGTACGTCTGTCCGTACGTCCCGAAATCTTGTGAACGCAACTCCTCTTAAACCGGATGGCAGATTTTGCTTAAACTTCCAGGGATGAACAACCTTAATGTGTAGATGGTAGTAAAGGAAGGAATTTTTGCTGCGACCAAATTTAACAGAATTATGGCCCTTTGTTGATTTTTTCACTATATACTATGTAGAAATTTTGTGAACGCAACTCCTCTTAAACCGGATGGCAGATTTTGCTTAAACTTCTAGGGATGAACAACCTTAATGTGTAGATGGTAGTAAAGGAAGGAATTTTTGCTGCGACCAAATTTAACAGAATTATGGCCCTTTGTTGATTTTTTCACTATATACTATGTAGAAATTTTGTGAACGCAACTCCTCTTAAACCGGATGGCAGATTTTGCTTAAACTTCCAGTGATGAACAACCTTAATGTGTAGATGGTAGTAAAGGAAGGAATTTTTGTTGCGACCGAATTTAACAGAATTATGGCCCTTTGTTGATTTTGTTCACTATATACTATTTAGAAATTTTGTGAACGCAACTCCTCTTAAACCTGATGGCAGATTTTGCTTAAACTTTCAGGGATGAACAACCTTAATGGGTAGATGGTATGAAAGGAAGGAATTTTTGCTGCAACCAAATTTAACAGAATTATGGTCCTTTGTTGATTTTTTCACTATATACTATGTAGAAATTTTGTGAATGCAACTCCTCTTAAACCTGATGGCAGATTTTGCTTAAACTTCCAGGGATGAACAACCTTAATGTGTAGATGGTAGTAAAGGAAGGAATTTTTGCTGTGACCAAATTTAACAGAATTATGGCCCTTTGTTGATTTTTAGTTTTCAACTTGTGGCACATGAATTAAGTCCAAAAAATATTTGACCTAGAGTCATAAGATTGACAGAACAGTGGCGTGTGGGGGCATCCGTGTCCTATGGACACATTTCTAGTTTTATCTAGCCAATGTTTACGAAGTAGATGTTCACATTGTAACAATATAATTGTAGGTTCACAATTTAAAAGCAGCATAACAGGTCGTTCTTTTGATTTACACAATGATGTTAACTGTACTACGCGTAATGTAATTTTCCTCATTACATGTAAAGGCTGTAAAAAGCAATACGTAGGTCAAACTAATCAAAATGTATCATGCAGATTGAATAAACATAGATTTGATAAAAGAAATTGCGACGTAAATCCAGTTTCACATGTTGCGAGCCATTTCGGATCAAACGATAATAAGTGTTCATTGTCAGATTTTTCATGTTTGCATATAGAAATTATAGATAACAACATGTACCGGTTATGTATAGAATCTTTTTGGATCCATAAATTAAATAATAAGATTCCAAATGGACTAAATAATAAAGTATTGTTTGATTTATAATGTGTTACATGAATATTAATATGTTTGTATATTATCTTATTTTTATTAATTAACTGTTTATTCATCTATTGTTTGATGATTTAACGTGACATTGTAATTAAATAATGACAATAACTAATTATAAACGTTTATTTAAAATGCATAATAATTATTGTAAATGTGATTGTGTATATTGTTATATATATTTTAAGATTATGTTATGTATATTGATCAATGTAAACTTATCTATTATTTTAAGATTGTCTGTGATAAATAATGTACATTGAACATGACAAAAATAAATATTCTGTTCTGTTCTGTTATGTGATATGGTATGCTGTTTTCTTTTTGTAATAAATAAAAAAATAACCGCTTCGTGTCAAACTTGTTTGGATAATTTAATAAGCGATAGAACAGAACAGAACAAATATTTTATTTGACTTAAGCATTACAAGCCCATCGTCGTTAACAATGAAAAAAAGAACATATATATATTGGTATGACATGGAAGATTTTACATATAATACATAAATTATTATTTCCTTAACATATATATCGTGAGAATGTAACAAAGGAAGAAATATATTTATATATACTCAATATTTACATGAAATAAAAAAAATTAAAAAAAAAATAACAAAAAAAGGAATGATTTCAGATTGAGAACGTCATTTAAATTATTACAATAGTGAATCCCTTAATTTGAAAGCTTTAAAACAATATAGAGCCAATTTTTTGAAGATCTTCTTATTACTACTTTGCATTAATGTTTTTTTCTTAATTATATTTGTGTGGGTATAATAATATCTGGGTATATATAACCTTATTAAATCGACATAAGCTGTACATTTTAAAACAAAGTGAAATTCGTCCTCTAGGTCGTTTAAATTACATAGTGTACATTTACGTTCATCGCGCGGAATAATGTAGTGTCGGTTAAGTTTATGTGAAGAGAGACGTAATTTAGCCAGTGCGTTTCTAAATTTTGTATTTTCTAATAGTCTGATATAATTTGACTGCTCAAATGTATCTTTTATCTCCCGGAAAATATTTAAGGAACTTGACATCTGCAACCCCGTTCTCCAATTACTTATGTATATATCTCAAAGTCTACAACGTAAGACCGGAACAAATACAACGGTTTCTGGATATAACCAGACTTCACTAAGACCGAAGACTGAAGGATATCGCGTATAAATGAGACCCATTTTTTTATTGATTCGTTTAGCTCTAGACTTTTGATTTGATCTTGTAAAACCGCCTTAAGTATGCAACTTTCAGACTTGACGGTATTTATCATCAGAAAATATTTGACCATTTTAACATGTCTTTCTATATAGAGTGGAAATCTACCTAACATACTATAGAGAGATAGAGTATGTGTAGATTGCTTAACATTTAGTATCAATTCACAAAATTTATTATGTACTCTTTCTATTACCTGTGAATTTATACAACCCCATACCTCTGCACCATAATTTAAAACAGAAAGTAAATACGAATCAAAAAGATTAAACAATATATTTATTGTAACTTTCATACTACGAACAATAGCCCACAAAGAATGTAGATAGAGGTAAGACATATAAGACTTTACTTGAATAGGTATTTGATAAATATCAGTGAAATATCAATAGTATCACACTGTTACATATCTAAAACGTATTACAAAAGTTAATCATGTGCACGTTGACATACCTATATTTGCATGTAATACATACCTCCTGCATAACAAAGGATATGGTAAAGGAAAAGACCTTTTTTAAAATTATTAATCTATAATTGTTATATGTGCGGCAGGAACACATGATCAATTAATCGTCGGTATGCTTTCCATATGGTCCAAAAGATGTACAGACATTTCATATCGAAACCAATCAGGTTTGTTTGTTTTGTTGTTTTTTTTTTTTTTTTTGGGGGGGGGGGGTTTGTGTGTGTGTTTTTTTTGTTGTTTGTTTTTTTGGTGGGGGGATGGGGTATTATTTTTTTTTTTTTCCTTTTTTAACATAGTTGAAACTATTTGACTATTCGTAAACCACTAGAGTGCAATGTCCGGGAGTCGCCCGATTCACAGTCCAACACTCTATCTATTGAGCTAACTGTGCGGCTTTACATGTTATAAGGTCTATCCTCTTTTTAACAATGCCAAAAATATTATGCATACACTTTTTGTGTGTTGTTTCACTACCTGGTCTACATTTATGCAAGCACATTATATTATATTGCAAAAAAAAGAAAAAAAGGAAAAACAGTATGGTTGCAAACTGTAGAACTCGAACCATATATACCTGCCCGTCATATTAGACAAATACCTAAACTAACTTGCTTTCATAGATGTGATTGCGATTATTTCTTTGACTAGCTATACATTCAATATTACTTATCACACATAGATAGAACCGGTGTTTGGTCGAATATTCAAATGAACGCTTTTATGCATTGAAGCTGACAGTTTAATAAAATAAAATTATCGCAGATAAAGATTTTCATGACAATATTTACAACGTCATGTAAGCACTCTGCGCTAAACTTTGTAACGTTTAACTAGTTTTAAATTCAGTGTTCACTATTTGATAATTCATTTCCTTTTTATACACACTATATCTCAAGGCTATGATAGGAAAACAGTGAATTTAAGTTTAAAAAAATCAAATTCTTAGAGAAATCCTAAAAAATATTCATTAAATTTCAATATCTGAGAGAAATCATTAAAGAAATATTTATTGTCAGTCAAACTTAATTCTTAAATAGCAAATGTTTTATCTACATGAAACCATATTAGAATATTAATTTAGATAAATTGTACAACTTTCTGTCATTGTCTCACAATGAATTGATAAATTGTTTATAAATAGCAACTTTGTCGACGTTTGCCACAAATCTGTTCGAGTCCTATTTTGCTGTTGTTTTCAGAAATGTGCATTATTAAAAATAGTAACTTAAGCGAAGTATGTAACAATTCTGTTTGTGCAAAGATTTTTCTGTTGTTGCAGAATTCGTAAATCAATAAGGTGCATAATTCAAAAAGCAGCTTTTGAGAAGTATTTAACAAATCTGTTTGAGCAAAGATTTTTCTTTTATCAGCGCGTTTCTCTGACAGTACGATGGCGAAGCCAGACAGTACGATGGAGACAATATGACATTACGATGGAGTACTGCCACCATATTACTGTAGTACTGTCACCATCATACTATCGTACTGTCACCATCTTCATAATACTGTGCTTTAAGAAGAAGGCATAAATAAAGCTTATCTGTTGAAATACAAGACACAACTGTACAATTTTATCACAAGATAGCTTACCAAAATTCTTTCTAGGGCAACACTAATTTTATAAATATGGCTATAAACAGGGATCCATGTATAGAAGCTGGAAACAAATATTTACATGTATCTTTAAAGATATAAATTTATTATAACAGCTAAGTAGAGTATCGTAGGAAACAATGCTTCTGATGAAATATTGTAAGTGACATGCAATACATAGGATCTCCTTTCATGATCTCGGAAATATCGAATAGTGGTCCAAACTATGGCTTGTAAGTTTAAATCCCAATTAAACGGAAGTTATGTTTTTTTTTCATCAAGTACATCCGACAAGCATACTCTCCTTTTAAATGATAATGTTCTTGATTTTGTAGATCATCACAAATATTTAGGTATAACTTTTTCAACAGATTTAAAATCCCATCAGCATATTGGTAACATTATTACACCAGCCTCTAAGTTTTGAGTGCATGCGTGCACTAAAATCAAAACTGAAACGCTCAACTCTAAATAAAATTTACATTTCATACATATGCGTCTAATATTAGAATATGCCTCCATTGTGTGGAACGGATGTACTGTGTACGAAAACAATCACTTAAACAACTGCAGTATGAGGCAGCACGCATAGTACTAATCCTAACCAGGTCGGTATCGATCAATTCGCCAGTAAAAGAAGTTGGGTTTCCCTCTCAGGCGTAAAATACAAAAATTAGTTACGTTCTTGAAAGCTTAAATAGTCTTTTTCCACAAAACATTAAAAATATAATTATTTCCATCGCTAGTTTCAGAAACAATAAATTACTACGCCCCCCTGTACAGGTCAG